AAATTTATATTTTTCTAATTACAATAATATTTCAAATCATTATAAAATGTTCAAGAAATTCAGAAAAGTATAAATAAAAATCCCAAAATTCCTCTACCAGAGAAAGCCAGTTAACATTTTAGGGAACATTCCTTAACACATCTCTTTGTGAATATACAAACATAGATATTCAATTTTACATAAGATGGGACTATACTAAATGGTGTTCTACAATCTTATCTTTCACTCAAAAATACATCTTGCATACATTTCCACTTCATCTTTTTTAAATGGTTACATAATTTTAAAGTGTATTTAGTACACTTTACAGTCAGTCACTATGTTTACTTATATAAACAATGTTTCAATGAACATTTCCGTGCTTATATCTTTACATACTTTATGATAACCTACTAATAATGCCCTTCATTCTTATTTTACTAAGAGGAATGGTTGCCTTTTTGGTATCTTCCCAAATACTCATGGTTGTTGTGTTTTTTATCCCTCTTTGATGTTTTATAGTAGTAAATAATTTTAAACAATTTTCTAATACTAATAATCTCTGCATTCCTAACTCTATTTCTATCCCTATTTTCTTTGTATGTACTTCTGAATTTTGTCTGATATTTTATTTTGGACTTTTGTATCAATAAACCAAAACCAAACCCACTGCTGTCAAATCAATTCTAACTCATAGCGGCCCTATAGGACAGGGTGGAACTGCCCTGTAGGGCTTCCAAGGCTATAAATCTTTACAGAAGCAGACTGCCACATTTTTCTTCCATGGAGCAGTGGTGGGTTCAAATTGATGACCTTTTGGTTAACAGCTGAGCACTTTAACCACAGTGCCACCAGAGCTCTCTCTTTACATCAATAATTCCCTTTAATTGTTCAGATTGTTTTTTGTGCTTTCTCCATTTTTTCTGATCATTGTTATGCTGACTTTGCAAAAAATAACTGAGAGACTTTCTCTCTCTCTCTGATTTGTAATAGTTTAAATTACACAGCAATAACCTGTTTCTTGAAGACCTAAAAGAATTCACTGGTGAAACCATCTGGACCTTGCCTAATTTTAATGTCTTTGACAACGTTCTCATTTCCTTCATGTTATCAGTCAGTTTGGGTTTTCTATATCTTCACGAATCACTTTTACTCATATATTTTTCTAGATATCTTCAAATTTATTAGCATAGTTACATAAACTATTCTAGGTATTTTATTTCCTCTGATGCTGAATTTCGTGTAATTGTGATTTATTTATTCCCTCCTTTAAATTAGGCAAGGTGGTGTGTTTTTCTTTTTTTTTTTAAATGCAACACTCCCTTGCTTAAAGTCTTTAGCATAAAGTCCGAATTATCTATTAATACAAAACAAAGTACTTCACAAGTTTGTACTTACCTACTTCTATATCTCATTGCCACCTTTATTCTACCCTGAATAAGCCTGCCTTTTATTCTTTCGTCTTTGTACGTGAAGTTGACCCTCCTTATAATGGATAACTGTCTGGATAACTACTGCTGGTCCCAAAAACCAGCCTAACTTGTATCTTTTCTGTGAAGTCTTCTTTACGGTCCCAAAGTTGGGATAAGCACAACTCATCATCTGTAGAATTTTCCTCCTCTTCTAGACCTTTCAATGTTGAAGTCCCTCAGAGCTCAATCCTCACACCTTTCCTCTATCTATACTCAATTCCCAGAAAAAATCCAGTTCTAGAGTTTTAAATATCATCTTTATTATATTGATGAATCCTAAAATTTTATTTCTAGCTCTGATTGTGCCCTGACTATTAAAAATCTGTATGCAGATAACTATACTAAATATCTCAAGCTTATATATCAAAAGTAGAAGTCTTGATTCTGCCTGCCCCTCAAATCTGTGATTCTCTCACTATTCTCCATTTAACTGGCACCACTATTCACACAGTTTGCTCAGTTCAAAACACTGAAATTATCCTAGACTCCTCTCTTTCTCTTATAAACCTATATCCAATTCAGCAGTAAGACCTGTCATCTCAACCTTCAAAAATATATCTTACCACTTCCACACCTAACACCCCTTATCTCTTGCCTGGACTACTGCAATAGCCTCCATATAGCTTCTCTTCTTCCTCTATTACTGACCTATGGTTAATTTTCTGCACAGCAACCAGCATTACCCATTAAAAGCATAAATCATATCATCACTACCACCCTCAATCTTCTAATGATATCACCATCTCTTCTCAGAATAAAATCCACAGTACTTACTGTGGCCTACAAGAATGGAAATCATCTGACTCCTCATTTCCTACCACTTCTACCACCAGTGACAGATACATCAACACCCAGCCAGATAAACCTCCTAGCTATTCCCTGAACACACCAACCTACTACTATACAGTTCCCTCTGACTGGAACGTTTATGTACTAGAAATCCAAATGTTCAATTTCTCATTTCATCTGACTCATTTATTTTTCTTACTAGTTTTTACCACTAAAAACAAACAAAAAACACCACTGCCTTCCAGTCAATTCTGACTCCTGGCAATAGCCTCAGTAGAATATAAGCTCTGTAAAATAATTTACAGAGTCATTTATTAAAATTATTCATTTATTGAAAACCCTATGGAGTGCAGTTCTACTCTGAAACACATGGGATCGACAAGTAGTTTACTGATTTTATACCATCGCCCCATACATAGCAGATGCTTCATAAAAACCTGCTGAATCAATGAGGAATTGATAGCATTTAATGTGTTGTTCTAGTACCTTTTGCATAATTCTTTATAGAATATACATGTCTGTTTTCTCTGCAGATCAGGGACTAAGTATTTTTCCTCTCCCTTCCCAAGAACCTACCAGACTGTCACTCAAGCAGTATTTGTGCTGGAGTAAATAGATAAATAAAGTCTTTCATTCTCTTTTGAAGGAGAGTGAGGAAATTCTATGAACAAGGAAAGCTAAGAATGACAATTTGATTATGTCACATATGGCAGAAACAAGAGGGAACTTGGCAAGAAAATACCTTGAAGACCTTCTGATTCTTTTTGCCCTTTTTCCAGCATAAAGGCTTCCATCTGTAAGGGGCTGTTTTCTGGAAACAGTAGCTTAGGAAAATACACAACATGTAGCTGTTGTAATTGCCATGTTTATACTGAGTTCTGGGTTAGCTGGTCAAAACAGCCCTGGTAAAAATAAACTTTCACTGTGTTTTAAGCAATCAGTGTTTCCAACAAGCACTGTCATCATGACCTTCAGTGGTCTCCAGAACTTCTCCTGTAGTAAGTATTTAACTGGCTGTCTAACCCTATGGCTTTCTGTCTGTCTTAAATTTTCCCTCAGCATTTTCAATGCTGGAACAACAAAAGACACAAGCCATTGTTCAGGAAGATTTCTGACCATAAGACTTCACATAATTTGAAAAGCCCTTTAAATATGAAAATTGAGACTTAAGTTGGGAAGAGTAGCAGTAGAGTTTACGTATCTCCCATATGACAGAAAGTATAAATGAACCTTGCATTCTAACTCCCTGACTCCCTATTCTCTACAGAACATTAAACTGTGGCCCCTCCAACATCTTCTTTCCAGGAGAAATTTTGGCTTTCACAGTAAATCAAAATAGAAACACCTTTTTTTAAAAATGTATTGCCCATGCTCCATGATAATGTTAGTATTTGAGAGTAATTATAATTTATCTCAAATTGTCTTAGGTCATTCTAAGGTTCTTAAAACTCTTGTCATATTTTTTTACTCATTCTTGGGGCCTCTTTATTAAATAATTCTTTCCCTCACTAAAATATATTAATATAATAAGACACTACTGAAAAATTTGCAAGACTGGAGACCTGGTGGTGCAGTGGTTAAGTGTTAAGTCTACAAGTTGGAATCAACTCGATGGCAACGGGTTTGGTTTTTGGTTTTGATATGAACGTAATATGAGGTACAAGGAAATCCTGTTTTAAGTAATTTGATAGGTAATTAGAAACAAACAATGCATGTCACATCATGAATATGCAATTCAGTCTAGCTGCTGACCTGATAACATAGGTATATACAGAGTATTCTGTGGGTGAACATCTCATTTTTTTCTTACAAAAGAAAAAGAGTAGGTCATAACATTTTTTCTCTGATAAAATATAATAAACAGTATGAATTAAATTTGACTTATCCTCTTATGCCTACTCTCAAAGGAAGGGATCAATAAAAAGGAAATGGACAAAAGGATGGGGAAAAGTAAACAACACTAACTAGCTGCCATTGAGTTGATTCAGACTCATAGTGACCCTATAGGACAGAGTAGAACTGGCCCATAGGGTATCCAAGGAGCGGCTGGTGGATTCGAACTGCCAACCTTTTAGTTAGCAGCCAAACTCTTAATCACTGTGCTACCAGGGCTTCAAACAACACTAGGGGTCATAAATCATGATTTCAAGTGTATATCTAATTGAGATCAATTTATGAATTTTAAAAGGATGATACAGACTATTCAAAACTAAAACAATTAAATAACAACAATAACAAAAACCCAAAGCATACATGTTAGCCTTTATGTCAGAAACCACCGTTTTAGTGTTTTAGAAGTTACCCTTTTAGAACTTTTTCTCTTTAATACTTATTTAAAGTTCACATGGCAATATAAAGCAGTTTCTATAGGCTCTTCCAAAATAAGGCATTTACCCTCCAGAAACTCATCTACTGTCAATCCTTCTTTTTCTCTACAAGAGTGTCCTCTTTCCCATTTGATCCAACGCTGGATCAAAACTAAGATATGGACTTGTGAGATGAATATAAAATTGCTAACTACAATAGCAAGAGGCAAAAATATCTCACTAAAAAGTAAGATAAAAAATTGGACATAAGACACAGAAAGAAGGAGACAGCTAAGTAGAAATTTTTAATGAACACTGATGTCAACCATAACCACTATTACTTAGGCCATTCTTAAAAATTACTGACTATGATAAGGGCCAATTTAGGAAATAGCCACTTCCATGTACAAAATAAAAAGAAGAGTATATTTTCTTTAGTTTCAATATCCAACAAGCATTGATATTTACTTTTCTAAGGAGATACAGAAGGGGAAGAAAAAATCCAAAGCACTTATTCTCAAGAGCATGTTATGGATCATACTAATGCATCCTGGGGGAAACAAAGCTATGCTGGGTAGAATGTCCAAAACTATACATATAAGAATCAATGTTACAGTACTGCGGGAACTTCTCACCTTAAAAGTTGTGGTCCCATAGAGCTTGGTGGTGTGGACTGTCTCTGGAAGCACATTAGTGATATTGGTAATAAATTCTTCCAAATATTTACAGGATTTCTCCAAGTGTGTTGTATTGATGATAATCTGGACAAGCTAGAAAACAATTAGGACGTGTAAGAGTCATATTTGAGTACTCATCCCAGGATGAATGGCTCAATGTAAATCTGCAGGTACTTAAAAAAAAAAAAAAAAAAAAAGGCATGATGGCAGAGGCCAACTGTATTCTGCAAACGGTATTTTAAGGCATGGGTGTAGGTGTAACTTCCTTAAGAAGCCTCCCTGACTGCCCAAAGCATCTTGTATTTCCCCCTATTATAGGACACATGTTTTCTTCTGTTTAAAGACTAAATAAGAACAAAAACTGCTAGGGTTTAGCATATTGTCTACCAATAAATAATTGGCCAAATAAATTAAACAAATGAACTTCCACTAAAAGAAATAGAAACTGAAATGGGAACAAGAAGTTTTAAAATTAGGCATATTGAACACAGAAGTTTGAATACACTGCAGTATATTAACAAACTACATCAGGTTATGGCAGAAACAACATGAATACTGAAGTCAGAGAAACATAGAGATTAACAGCTCATAAATTACTGATCTTGAGAAAGTGTCTTAACTTCTCTAAACCTGTTTCCTTATTTGTAAAATGTTAATAATTTCCAATCCACAGAGTTATTGAAAGGATTAAAAATTCTGTTATAAAAACTGTTTCACTTCTCTTATAGGAGAAGGCCTGAAAAAAGACAATATTGGTAAGAGAAAAGTAATCATACTCTAAATTATTTTGGGAGGACATGGAAAAGGAAAAATAATTATCATTATCTTTATAGAGATTTAAATTTGAAATACTTCACAATTCATTTTCTTACATTGTCTTCCTAGCAATCTGGAGAAATTGCTTAAATGGGCTAATTATTATTTCCTTTTTACTGTAACAGAAAGGAAAATAAAAGTAATTTCCTTTGGATTGCATAATCTAAATGGAGCTAGGATTCAAATCCAAGCAGTCTCACTTTAAATTATAAACTCACCTAAATGACTTCTGAGAGTGCTTTGTTAGCATAAGAAGTCCATAAAATGGCAGCCCTATATTTGTATACATTAGGTCGAAATATCAGATTCTGGGTCTGTCATCAATCAACTAGACCTCTCCAAGCTTTGATTCTACTATCTCTAAAAAAAAAAAAAAAAAAAGAGAGCGAACGAGTGGTACCTATTTTAACTACGAAAATTGTTTATATTCCCCAAAGTCTAAGAGAAAATCAAAGAAGAAATGAAATGGAATCTTATTTTTCTCTCTATCTTCTCTACATATTTAGCTTTTCATTTTTACATGAATTGGTTTTACAGTGGGGTTGTGGCAGGTGGGGAGAGTCTTATTATATAAGGCTGAGGATGAATTTAGGTGTTCTTTTAGTCTAGTAAAATGATGAGGCAGGGGAGACTAGAATGATGACAAAAAGAAATTGGAACTGAGAATGAGGGAGGTAATACATATTTTCACAATTAAATGATATTTCAAAACAGTATTTAAAAGTTGGAATGATGCTTCAATACGCATTATGGTATCATAGTGTGGGATATTAAATATATATATATCAGTAGAACCATAATCAGAAAGTACATTCTTATCTCCTCCACAATACCCAGCATTAAGACTAAGGCATACAGTTTATTCAAAAAATGCATGTCAACTCATTATGATAATGCTTTAGTAATGGCTTGGACTAAGGAAAAATGTACCTTGTGCTCCACTAAGGAACATCTTAAACATCTGAGTAAAAGAGCAACTTTTGAAACATAATGACTATGGGCAAAGACCAGATATGTAGTTCCAACAGATTCTCCTAGATGAACTTCTCCTAGACAACTTCATCTTGGTCAGCAGCCCTTTCTTCTTCATTCCAGTTTTAATTTGGAGACTGAGTTTTGGACACAAGACTATTATCTTCTATAAATTACCCAAAAACATCAGTCTTTAACTTCAGAATGATCTAGGAAAAAATACCCACCAAAATAAGCAATTCATCAACTTTCCTTTCATTCTGTTTCTCCCTTGAAGAACTAAAATAACTTTAAAAATTTAAGTTGTCTAAATTAAATCACTTTTCATCCAGAGTGGGAAGGTGGCTACTGGCAAGGTTGTCTTGATGTGTAAGTCAGAAAAGTAAGAGAATTAATTTGGAGAACTGAAAAATTTCTATTTTAAAATTAGCATTACCTATAGGGAAGGCATTCTGTCTATCAAAAGAAATCCTAATAATAAGGAGGAATCATGTCATGTTATTGAAATAAAAAAACAGTGGCAGTCAAAGAGAAAATTGTCCTGTTTTACAGGATATTGGCAGTTTAAAAAAAAGGAGGCGGCTTCACTGGGTACAGTAGTAATTTCCCATGACTTTTTAAAGATCTGTCAACACAAAAGATCACCATGAACTGCATCAATTGGCTGTCACTCACTTTTGAAATGTTTCATTGCTGAGCATAGAATAGACTATTAAAACACTCTAGGATTACAGTAGATACCATGTCATTTTCAGAGGGAATATTGTCTGTTAATGAGGCCTAGGTGATCTTTACTCCTGAATGACAGATACCAAAATCCTTAGAAGGGCATTTACAAATGTAAAGCCAGATGCTTTGGGAGTAATTTTAAACTTAAGGATGAAACGAAGCCATTTCAGATATCAACTTCCATCAGAGTTAGAGCTCCCTTGATGATATTTTTAACTCCTACTTCCCACTCTCTTACAAAAATATATCACTGCAGCAATCCAAACCAGCCCTAACATTGTTTCAAGAACATGGAACTAACAACAGATTAGATATTTGTTATCTCTTAAATGAAGTTCTTTGAGAACTGTACAAAAAAAAGAAATCAGTATAAGATGAACAACTACCTCTCATAACTAAATAACAGAAATCACTTAAGTTCAAAACTATTAAGAAGTAAAAAAAATTTCTGAATCTCCCTCTCTGTATCAGAGAGGAAGGCAAAGAGTACACTGTGGAGGTCACGTCTCCTCCAACCCTGCTCCAGCCACTCCAGTGGAACCTGAGACATACGACAGACAGACGTTCTACTCTTGACTAACTCCAGAGAAAATGACTTCACCATCTTCAACAGTTCAAAACTAAGCCCTAAATTCCAAGAAAAGGTTTCCATTCCCAAGTATAAACTGCTTCTGGAGTATACACATCTGCTTATATTAGGCCTGAAGCTAGTTTATTTCCAAAAATAAAAAATTCAGTACACTGAAGCTCCGGAAAACTAACACAAAGCAAGGAAACGAGACATCAGACTCCTCTCCACACCACCAGCATCCCAAAGCTATTAGATTTACAAGGAGACAAAGAATTAAATAGCAGCCTTGGTTCTCATTCACAAAAATGAGCTATTCTCTAAGGCTTCAAGGAATTTTATCTCCTTTTTACCCCTGCTAGGATACAAAATGTTGTGTCAACTAACTCATTTTATACCACCTCCAAGACTAAACTATTTAAAACACTCAAAACACTTGGAACTTATGAGTCTAAATTCCAAGGTCTAGTACAGTTTATATTTGACAAGACTTAAATATAAACTGTTTTAACATAATATAAGTAACACAATTGCTGTTAACACAGCAGGTAGAGGCAAAAAACAGAGGAGAGAGCCATGTGGTCTATTATATTAAATTATACTGAAAAAAAAAACAACAACAAAGTATTGGTCATTTATTCAGTCTCCTGGGAGACTATTATAGTCATAAAATATAAACACCCAATATGGCATCACTAATAGGACCATTAAAAAAAACATCAAAGAAGAAAAAGGCCAAAATGAACTCACAAGAGGCTCTGAAACTTGCTCTTAAGCAGAGGATAGCTAAAGCAAACAGGAGAAATGATGAAGTAAACGAGCTGAGTAAAGGAGTTCCGGCAAGATGGCGCTCTAGACAGAAGCACCACGCCGTCCCTCCACAGCAAAGATACGAAAAACTAAACCAAACAGAGAATGCAACAATCCTGAAACCCTAGAACATCAAATGAAGAGATAAA